AGGCACTTGTTACTAAAAGCGATGCACTTGTTTCTAATAGCTTCTTGATACTACTAGTAAGGCACTTGTCACTACTAGCGATGCACTTGTTCCTAGTAGCATGCTTGTTTTTAAGTTTCCCTGAAAATCTAGGAACGAAATGAATAGTGCCGCTTCTTCAAGGAAGCATGAGCTATTCTGCCTCCATACCTAGAAGCTTATATATAGACGCCTACTTCGTAGGAGGGCGGGTCCACGGGCGGTCGCAAAACGGCGCAGGGGTCGAGCCTTGGTGCACTTCTACGTGGGAATCATCAATCTTGCGATGGCCGACTTCTTGAATTTCACCTTGTGGACGAGACTCGAAATTCGCGAAGTCTGAGGCGATGGCCTCCAACCTATTCTAATAACAGGTCTAATCACAGGTCTTTCAATTTCACCTTTTCTGAGGGGAATTGCGCATGGGCCGCAACTGGAAGCTAGGGCTAACTAGCAGTTTTTTCACTAGTAGCTGCCAAGAAGCGAAGAAGCTAGATGCTGGGAAGTAGATGCATTGATTTGATGAAGATTTCGATCTTTGCAAACTGAGGATCATCCACCTTGCCGTAGGAGGCAGCCTTGTGGTTTGCGCCATCATCATGCTTTTGAACCACCACACGTATCACTGCCAACGCCATAGCCATGTCAAGAGGACATACGCTGGAACTGCAAAGGTGACAGAAGCCTTGGATGTCTTCAAAGAGGAGGCCTTGGAGGTGCGGCGGTGTGGCCGAAGCACCGCTTTCAAAGGGATTGGCAAAAGGATTCAAAGCGTCATTGCTCCTAGTAGCAAGGCCAGGAGCCCCTAGTAGCGCCCTTGCTCCTAGTAGTAAGGCCAGGAGCCCCTAGTAGCGTCCTCTTGCTCCATATTCTTGATAACATCGCGTCATGTGATTGATTCGAAGCACGACTTTAGGTTCGCACCTACATTGCGAAGAACCATTTCTCAGTGCGGATTGTCAGCTTCCTCATCGCCATCGCCCTGGTTGCAACATCGGTTTTGGGGATGATCAACGTGGGGACTCCCAGTTCTTGTTCCGAAAGGATTCTTTGGACTAGGAACAAGGACGCTACTAGGAGCAAAGGGCATCGCTACTAGGAACAAGGATACTACTAGGGGCTCCTGGCCATACTACTAGGAACAAGAAGCTAGTAGAAACAAGAAACTACTAGAAACAAGTGCCTTACTACTAGGAACAAGAAGCTAGTAGAAACAAGAAGCTACTAGAAACAAGTGCCTTACTAGTAGTAACAAGTGCCTTACTACTAGGAACAAGAAGCTAGTAGAAACAAGAAGCTACTAGAAACAAGTGCCTTACTACTAGGAACAAGAAGCTAGTAGAAACAAGAAGCTACTAGTAACAAGTGCATCGCTACTAGGAACAAAGGACGCTACTAGGGGCTCCTGGCCATACTACTAGGAACAAGAAGCTAGTAGAAACAAGTGCCTTACTACTAGGGACAAGAAGCTAGTAGAAACAAGAAGCTACTAGGAACAAGTGCATCGCTACTAGGAACAAAGGACGCTACTAGGGGCTCCTGGCCATACTACTAGGAACAAGAAGCTACTAGAAACAAGTGCCTTACTACTAGGAACAAGAAGCTAGTAGAAACAAGAAGCTACTAGTAACAAGTGCATCGCTACTAGGAACAAAGGACGCTACTAGGGGCTCCTGGCCATACTACTAGGAACAAGAAGCTAGTAGAAACAAGTGCCTTACTACTAGGAACAAGAAGCTCGTAGAAACAAGAAGCTACTAGGAACAAGTGCATCGCTACTAGGAACAAAGGACGCTACTAGGGGCTCCTGGCCATACTACTAGGAACAAGAAGCTCCTAGAAACAAGTGCCTTACTACTAGGAACAAGAAGCTAGTAGAAACAAGAAGCTACTAGTAACAAGTGCATCGCTACTAGGAACAAAGGACGCTACTAGGGGCTCCTGGCCATACTACTAGGAACAAGAAGCTAGTAGAAACAAGAAGCTACTAGAAACAAGTGCCTTACTACTAGGAACAAGACACTACTAGTAACAAGTGCATCGCTACTAGGAACAAAGGACGCTACTAGGGGCTCCTGGCCATACTACTAGGAACAAGAAGCTAGTAGAAACAGTAACTAGTAGGCAATTCCTGCCCGGGTCCCGGGGAACCGCTTCAGAACAGTTGCGGACCATGTTTAAAGTCAACTCGGCATACGAAATTGACAAAATCGCAGGGACTTCCCTTTCCCTTTACAAAGCACATTGCATTTAGAGTGTCCGCGCTGGATCTTTTGAACGTAGGGGAGGCTTTTTGATTAGGTACTAGGGATTTACGTGAGGCTACTAGTATCAAGGACGCAGTAGAAGCCCAGGTTCCTAGATTTTGCAGGAAAGCCAGCCAACAAAAGCACATGCGCTGGACTCTCCACTTAGCCGAAACTTGTGCTGTAGTAACTTGGAAGATTCTAGGAATCATCACAGGTTGAAATCCACTTGTACTGTACCAACTGATTTGTATTTGCCTTGTGCGTCCAAGTTCAATACCAATGCCCAGCATACTCTCAGTATGTTGTATTTTTGTACACATGCGCCGTCATGCCCCGTCCTGCGCGTTTTCTTCCTCGTGGTGTGCCAAGCTAAGGTCTTTGGCTTGCTGTTCAGTCCCTTTCACTATGTGATCGGTGTTTTCGATCTTTTCTTTGCCGTGGTCATCGCTCTGGTGGATGGCGAAGCGAGCTGGTTTGAGAAATGCTGCAATTGCCGTGTGAAGCTTTTCCAAGCATTTCCATGCCTCGCTGAGCTGCCTGGACGCTCTTTGCTGCACTTCTACGTCTCTTGATCGCACGAAACAGGTCGGTCAACGTCGGTCAACATGTTTTGAAGAGCCTGAGGTGGGAAGCATCAACATGGTGATGCTTCCTGGAATGCCTTTGGCACCAAACTCAGCATACTTGCTTTGCAGATTTGAGACACACAATATCAGTTTCAATTGCATGTAGACATGATTCATGTTGCACGATGTACATAGAGTTTGTGTGCAGAATGCCAAACTAGCCGTGAAGTGCAGTGATGGATTGTGTTTTTCCAGGACATTGTCTACGTGGCATTAGGAGGAACGCTTTGCTTGTGCTCCATGCTGATGCTATGCCATCACAACTACTGTTTGAAAGTTCCTGACCTCCCATCTTTGAGTCACTCTTGATGATCCAAGCTTGGTCAATCAGAGACTTCCATGATATATTGTTTTGAAAGCAAGATATATATATACCCATCATATATTGTTTTGAAAGCTTTTCTTTGTGTCTTGGACTTTTGCTGTACCAAAGCCGTAGTGTGAATTCAGTCAACACCTTGCTCGCCTGCAATTGCGTGAAACCGCAGCTTAAAGCAGCTTGCAAGCGCCAGTTGGTGTGCTAGGTTCACCATGACGTGTACAGAGTTGTGCCAGCCATTCTCTTGTTTGTCCAACTCGAAGGACAATCAATGATGTCACAGCTGATGCCTGACTGCTTGTACAATAGAGTTCAATGAACCATATGTGGAAAATGTTAGCGCTCTGGAATGTCACATAGTTTTAAGATCTCATTTACAGGTTGTTTCTTACAGAGACGCTTCTTCTGCATCCTTGTCACTTCTAGCTTACACTCCTGTTTGCCCATACCTAACCCCTCCAGCTGAGTGAACTGTACTTTGTCCCTTCTCAAGTTGAGGCAGAAAAGCAGACGCCGAAACAGGACGGCGCAGGAGAGAAGAGAGAAGTGTGGTTTGTTTGGGCAGATCGATTTGCATCGATCGAATGGGAGAGTCACAGTACTTGAGCATCACCTCTTTGCCGCTAGTAGGAGCAAAGGGCATCGCTATGAAATGCTACGAACGGGGCTCCTGGCTATACTACTAGGAACAAGAAGCAATTAGAAACAAGAAGCTACTAGTAACAAGTGCATCGCTACTAGGAACAAAGGACGCTTTAGGGGCTCCTGGCCTTGCTACTAGGAGCACTGTTCGCTACTAGGAGCAAAGGGCATCGCTAATAGGAGCAAGGACGCTAGTAGGTTTGGAGGCCTTCGCTATTAGGTTGGACAAGAACTCTTTGTACTCCTGAAGCTTTAAGATCAGATAGATGTGACTGTTAGGCTGAAGAAGGTGTTTCTTCCTTGTTCAGTGTTGTCAGGAATATGTTTGGTTTCCATCCGAAAAGGGTTTTCATTCAAATGTTTTCCATTCTCTGAGCAGTACTTGTCTTTGCTTGATGTCAGTCTTGCATTCGAATGTCAGCTGTGTGCGGAGAGACAGTCCAGCCGATGGCAGGTCGGTGCATGTTCAGTGTCACTTGAATTAAGTTTAAAGTAAATTACAAGCTTCTTGTTACTACTAGTAAGGCACTTGTTCCTAGAAGCGTGGCACCTGTTACTACTTGAATTTGAATCAAAACCTGTGGTGTTTTGTTGGTTTAGAAGAAGTGGCCAGTGACTTGTCCTTGCGAGGGGCAAGGCAGTGGCTGGCTGCTCGCAAATTGTGCACAAGACCCTGACCAATTCTTCTAACGGTGGCCACTTGACATTGATAGGCAGGTGATGGCAGGTGTCGTGCAAAAGCTGTGACAAAGCATACGGCTTGTCGCTCGACGCAACCGGTTGCGAGAGCAAATCGTGTCCTATGTGAGACACATGAGAGAAAAAAGTTGCTGAAAGCTTCGACCAGAGCTTGGTGGCTCTTTCTGCGTATTTAAGCCATAATATGCAGGTGGTAACAAGAAGCTAGTAGAAACAAGTGCATCGCTTCTAGTAACAAGTGCCTTACTAGTAGTAACAAGAACGCTAGTAGAAACAAGTGCATCAATGGAAGACGGTGCACACGGTGACGAGTTTCTCTTCTACAGTGTGCAGCTCACCTGTTCTTGCACTGTTTGGGTGCTGACCTCGACCTGGAACGCCCGATGAAGCCGGGTTCGTCAAGAAAAGAGTTGGCATCGCGGCACCTGCTGGCAGCGCGGTATAGGGAATGATTTCAATATAAGTTCCATGGGAAGACTGCGCTTGACCCAGTGCAGATTCCAATCAAACCTGGCCAAAAAAAAAAGGAACTGCTTGGCGCAGGGAGTGTCAGGAGTCCTCTCTTGCCATCAAAATCCAGCCTCATCCGTGTTGTCGGGCCTGAAAGGACTCCTGAAAGAAGCTCGAGAAGGAGCGCAAAGAAGGTCTGGCTTTGAAGCAACAAGAAGTTGTTCGTCGTTTTCAGTTGCCTTTTCTGCTCATGTATTTTGTGTGATGCGATGCTCCTTCTCTCCAGCTCTTACGGCTAGCCTGAAAGGATATGACCGAGTCATTGAAACATGCTGGCTAACCAGCATGTTTTTTTTCCCCAAATTTCTTTGACATATTTGCTTTTGGACTTCCAAGGAGGTTGGACAATGGAGATCTACGTATAAGCATTGAGCATTGTGTACAGGTAGAAGATATAGTTCAGTCGCATCATGCCTCACGAATTGATCATCTGCCCCCTTCCAGCTTGTTACTAGTAGCTTCTTGTTACTAGTAGTAAGGCCAGGAGCTACTAGTAGTAGCGTCCTTGCTCCTAGTAGCGATGCCCTTTGTTACTCCCCCTTCCAGCTTGCTCCGTGAGGTCGTTGTCAGCGCCAAGTCGAATGGACTTTCAAGGGATATGCAGAGGGGTTCTTCAAGGCTCCTCCCGGCCAGGCGGGGGTGCTTCCTTGAAGAACCCTGAGAAAGCGCGCCCCGGCCTGCTAGCTGCTAGCTCTTGACTCAAAGAATCTGAATCACTCTTATCACTTTCACTTGCAGTGCGTCACCACGCAGCACCTTGGCTTAGTCACTCACTACTAAGTGAAATGTCACCTTTAGAAACTGTCATGTAAAGACGACTTACGGTATTAGCTTCTGACTTCTTCTTGCTAGCCGCTTGCCAGCCCACCTGATGGCCTACCCCTTAACAATACCAATAACATAATATGAGAATACCATAATACCAATTCGGCTAAGCTCAGCTTTGCGATGTGACCTTTGCGTCAGGTCGGGTCTATCGCAGCTCCGCGCTTCGAGAAAGGCCGCAGGCCGGGAGACAGGGGAGTGGTGAGGAGTGGTGAAGAGTGGTGAGCAGTGGGCACTAGTAGCTTGTTCCTAGCAATGGCCTCCACCTAGTAGCTTCTTGCTACTAGTAGTGCAACAGCAATAGTTGGCTGCGTTCTGGTAGGATTGAATCCTGTCTAATCATGCATGAGGTCTGCTCGAGATTGAAGCGGAAGCACAGAAGTCTGCTACGACAGCCGAATCGAAATGATTCCAATTTGCTATTAGTAACAAGAAGCTATTAGTAACAAGTGCCTCGCTACTAGTAACAAGTGCCTTACTAGTAGTAACAAGAAGCTAGTAGT